TTGTCGGTCGTGGGGTTTGAACTCTGGGCCTGGGCGCTGTCCCTACACTCTTCAGCTCAAGGCAAGCACTCTACTGCTTGAGCCACAGCAACACTTCCCATTTTCTAATGAATAACTGGAGCTAAGAGTCTCACGGACTTTTCTGCCCAGGCTGGCTTTGAACCATGATCCTCAGATCTCAGCCTCCTAAGTAGCTGGGATTACAGGTGTGAGCCACAGGTGCTCGGCTTCTATATGATTCTTGATGAGTGATTGTGTCTGTGTCTGTGTCTGTGTGTGTATGTGTGGTCGCATGCACACATGTGTGTTTTTACTGAGGATGGAACCCAGAGCCTCACATATGCCTGCTTTGAAAGCAGTCCAGGCAGGAAAAAAAAATTGTGAGACTTTAATCTCCAATGAAACACCGAAAAGCCAGAAGTGGAAGTGTGGTTCAAGTAGTGGAGCACCAGCCTTGAACAGGAAAGGACAGTACCCAGAATGTGAGTTCAAGCCTCAGGACCAACACACAAAAATAAAATAGATAGATAGATAGATAGATACATACATACATACATACATACATAGATACATAGAGGGCTGGAAATGTGGCTCAGTGGTAGAGTGCTTGCCTAGCATGCATGAAGCCCAGGGTTTGATTCCTCAGTACCACATACACAGAAAAAGTTGGAAGTGGTGCTGTGGTTCAAGTGGTAGAGTGCTAGCCTTGAGCAAAAGAAGCTCAGGGACAGTGCCCAGGCCTTGAGTTCAAGCCCCAGGACTGGCAACAATGAATAAATAAACAAGATTGTATCACAGAAGATGACTGGCATCATCCATCCAGGATCTCTGAGCTGCGCACGCTGCACTTACCTGGCTGCCCTTGATGGACATGCTGGGCTCCCAGACCCTAAAATCCTTCTTGAACAATACCACCAGGCCAATATGCTGGTACCGGGGCGCCCCCAGGACTATGCTTTGCACCTTATTCCTCGAGGTGACCGCAGAAGCATAACCTATAAACAGAGCCCAAAGAAGCAAAGTGTTTCCCATCACAGACCCTGCCCTCTCCCACCAGCCCATGCTCATGTAAAGACCCTGGAGGCCCCTCCATGCCCCTGTAGCTTGGGGTCACTGAGCCCTGAACTGTATTCCTCTCTGTGAGCAGAAATGAAATCAAATTATATCCAGGCACTGGTGGCTCACGCCTGTAATCCTAACTACACAGGAGGCTGAGATCTGAGGATCGCACTTTGAACCAAGCCTGAGCAGAAAAGTCTAGGTGAGGCTCTTAGCTCTAATTAACTGCCAGAAAAGCCAGAATAGAGGTATGGCTCAACTGGTAGAATGCCAGCCTTGAGCAAATATATAAATACAGATATAGATATATTTGGATTTCTGTCTTTACTGCTGTGTAAAGTCCTGTGGAAGATTCAGAGTACCTACACTCGTTGAGTTACATGCTCTGAACTCTGAGAGCACCCTGCTCTTCCCACTTACCAAGGTATGCATCATTCATGTCTGAGTTCACTCTGGTTACATTCATGAAGGTGGTTTGATCCTTGGATGTGTGGAGAAAAGCCCCACCTGACCAGTCAAAGCTCCCCACAGAACCCAGCAAGGGACCATCCTGGGAAAAGAGAAGAAAAGGAGGGATAGAAAAGAAGACACAGAAATGTGTATCTCCCTCCCCCCCCAAAAAAAAAAAAATTAGCTGGGTGCAGGTGGCTCAGGCCTGTAATCCTAGCTACTCAGGAGGCTGAGATCTGAGGATCACCATTCAAAGTCAGCCTGAGCAGGAAAGTCCGTGAGACTCATCTCCAATAAACCACTAGAAAACCAGAAGTGGTGCTGTGGCTCAAGCGGTAGAACACTCACCTTGAGCTGAAGAGCGCAGGGACAGCACCCAAGCCTAGAGTCCAAGCCCCACGACTGACCAAAAAAAAAAAAAAAATCACAGAAGCCAGGCACTGGTGGTGCAAACCTGTAATCCTAGCTACTCAAGAGGCTGAGACCCAAGGATCCCAGTTCAAAGCCAGCCCAGGAAGGAAAATCCATGAGACTCTTCTCTCCACTGAAATACCAAACAGTCAGAAGTGGAGCTGTGTGGCTCCAGTGGTAGAGTACCAGCCTTGAGTGAAAAAACTCAGGGACAGTGCTCAGATCCTGAGTTCAAGCTCTGTACCAGCACACACACATACACACACACACACAAACCCACCACAATGAGAGCCCCCAAACCTTTGCACCTCTTCTCTCTTCATTGTGAACCGCCTCCCCAATTTCATGACAGGCCACTTACAGAGGTGACAGCAGCGCTAAACCCTTCCTGGGACATCTCGTGCTCGAAGGAGCTGCTGGCGCTTCCTGTCTGAGTACCTATGAGGAAAAATGTGCTTTTCTTTCTTTCTTTTCTTTCCTCTCCTTCTTTCTTTCCTTCTTCCTTTCTTCCTTTCCTCCCTCCCTCTCTCTCTCTCTCTCTCTCTTTCTCTCTCTCTCTCTCTCTCTCTTTCTTTCTTTTTCTGCCAGTCCTGGACCTTGAACTCAGGGCCTGGGCACTGTCCCTGAGCTTCTCTTGCTCAAGGCTAGCACTCTACCACTTGAGCCACAGTGCCACTTCCAGCTTTTTCTGTGTATGTGGTACTGAGGCATCGAACCAGGGTTTCACACATGCTAGGCAAGCACTCTATCACTAAGCCACCTTCCCAGCCTGAGAAATGCTTTCTGCATTCAATTAAACACAAAGCGATGGGGACAGGGGCTGCATGCTTAAATGCTAGCCAGACAAGAGAAGGAGGCTGAGATGGGACCTGTTATTTATCATCCTAGAGCCCACACATAAGCATTGAGTATCAACATCCAGATTTGCAAAGGAGAACCAGGGAAACCCAGGTGATTGCGGGGCGGGGAGAAGCGGAAGGATTTGTCTTCCTGGTTATTCTGGGAACAAGGATGGATGCCTGGCTCACCTTCGATGGCAAAGATCTTTTCCTGCAGTTGGTTCTGAATGGTCTTCAGAGCTTGAAAGTTATTCACCCGGAATACATGATCCTGAGAAGGCTTGGACGCAATGGTGTTAAGTTCTTCTCTGTTCCGCTCACTGCGGAAGGCATCCCCGACCTGGTACCAAGGAACAAAGGGCAAAGCAGACACTTGGTGAAGAAAGCAGTAGCCACTAGCAAAGCAAACTCTAAGGGAAAAGAATCTGAAGTATGATTTGCTAAATGAAAGAATGCAATGGGAGACCCCCAGGACGCTCCTGCCAACTCCATTTGGAGAGGGTGTGCACTGCACACGGAGTGACCAGGGGCTAAAGCACAGCTTTGGATCCACTTGCAGAGAGGAAGGAGCTGTATATAAAAGTACTGCTTGGGCTGGGAAGGTGGCTCAGTGGTAGAGCGCTTGCCTTGCATGCCTGAGGCCCTGGGTTCAATTCCTCAGCACCACATAAGCAAAAAGAAAACAGCCAGAAGTGGAGCTGTGGCACAAGTGGTAGAGCGCTAGCCTTGAGCTGAAGAGCTGAGGGACAGCGCCCAGGCCCAGAGTTCAGGCCCCACTACCGGACCCAAAAAAAAAAAAAAGTACTGCTTGCAGGCCAAGCTATGTACCTATGCTGATATCTTTTTCAGAACTGATCTTAACCTTTTAGCTCTTCCTGTATCCAAACCCTTTCCCCAAAACTTTGCTGTACCCTGCTACTCTTTAGTGTGTGTGTGTGTGTGTGTGTGTTCTTGTGCCCATACTGAGGCTTGAACCCTAAGCCTCTTGCTCAGCTTTTCTTTTTAATTGGCTCACAACTGGTGCTCTACCACTTGAGCCACATCCCCACTTTTGACTTTTTTGCTGGTTAACAGGTGATTAAGAGTCTCTCAGATTTGTCAGCTCAGGCTGGCTTCTAACCCTGAGGCTCAAATCTCAGTTTCCTGAGTAGCCTGTATTACAGGTGTGAGCCACTGTACCTGGCTAGAATTACCCATCTTCAGCCACATGATTTTTGCAATGACAGATCCATGATTATAAGTGTGTATGAGGTAGCTAGCAGGGGCGTGGTTTCACATTCCTTTCACAACATGTTAAATTGTGCTACCTGCAGGTAGAAAATGCAGCTAGAAGAATCCGGGGCAAGAGCAGCATTTCCTACCCCAATGACATAGCGAATGATCCCCGCTCTGTCAGCTTGAGGGATGACTTGCTCATAGCCCAAGGGGTCACCAAACTTTTCTCCATCTGTGATAACAACTAGGATCTTCACGGCATTCTCTCGGGCCCCATTGGAGCTCTGGAAGAGTTCTGTTCTGTGTGGGAAAGAAGAAGACAAGGTCAAGTGCAAGGTTAGAGCCAGGCAGCTAATGCTGCCGGTCTTAGAGAATGTCAGCAGAGTCAAGAGCACAGACAAGGCTCTGTGCAAAAGAAGGGTCCCTCTTGCTTACAAGACCTCAACCTCCCCGTTTATTTGTGCCAGTACCAGGACTTGAACTCAGGACATCTCAATCAGCTTTGTTTGTTCATGACTGCCACTTGACCTCTTGAGCCATGCCTCCACTTCCAGCTTTTTGCTGGCTCCCTGGAGATAAGAGTCTCACAGACTTTCCTGCCTGGGCTGGCTTCAAACTGTAATCCCCAGATCTCAGCCTCCTGAGAGGCTAAGATGATAAGCAGGAGCCACCAGCACCTGGCTATCTCTTCCCCCGTTCAAACAATTATAACAGGTTTCATTACTTTTATTTTGTTTTGATCATATTTACCACATCTCACCATCTCCTGTTCTACTGGTTCCTCATCTAAACAGCTTCCTGTCATTCTTTTAGTGTGTGTGTGTGTGTGTGTGTGTGTGTGTGTGTGTGTGTGTGTTTCTTGCAGTGCTGTGCCTGACACATGCTTGATACCTGCTTGATACCCAGGGCCCTGCACTCCCAGCCCAAACTCAACCCATCTTTGCAGCCTCCCCCCAGTGCCTCTCTTTACAATCAACCTGCTTCTTTATGCGCGTGCTCTACTCAGTCCCTCCTTCAAAGCTTTGTTCCCTCCAGTAGAAACAGTCTTTCCCCTAGCCTCTTCAAAAAGCAAAGATCCTCACGGGCCCTCACTGTTTACAACCCAGCTGTCCACATCTCCTTACTCACACTACTTTGCGGATTGCTGTGGCGGTGTGCGTCCTACCACTCAGCTGTTTGATTGGGTTTATCAGAGACCTCGGGTTCGGGTTTCTCTTGAAATCGCTGAAGGTGAAATGAGTCCAGAACTCTTCAGAGTACTGCATTAAGGAGAACTGGGAACAGAGCACCTGGCATTACACAGGAGAAATCACCCCTCCTCCCCAGCATACTGTATATGAGTCTTTCCAAAATCCTTCTCCACAGCACCTTGACTTCAATGTGGACTTCAACTCCAGACCTCTGTCAGCTAAGCTGAAAGAACACAACAACACACCAGTGGCTCACACCTACAATCTTAGCTACTCAGGAGGATCTGAGGATCATGGTTCAAAGCCAGACTGAGCAGGAAAGTCTAGGAGACTTTTTTTTTGGTCGTGGTGCTTGAACTCAGGACCTGGACACTGTCCAGGACTAGCTCAAGGCTAGTCCTCTACCACTTTGAGCCACAGCTCTACTTCCAGTTTTCTGGTGGAGATAAGAGTCTCATGGACTTTCCTATCCAGGCTGGCTTTGAATCACAATCCTCAGATCTCAGCCTCCTGAGTAGCTAGGATGACTGGGGTGAGCCATCAGTGTCCAGCTTGTGAGACTCTTATTTCCAATGAATTACCAAAAAGCTGGAAGAGGAGCTGTGGTTCAAGTAGTAGAGAGCCAGCCTTGAAAAAAAAGCTAAAGGACAGTGCTCAAGCACCAGGACTGACACAAAATAAATACAAATTCTCTATCAAGCTATGCTAGGGAATGTTGTCTGGTTGTCAAGTATTTGCCAGCTTCCTGTGGACAATTTCCAGACCTACCCTTGGCCCTCACCAAGGTTTTGGACTCTGTGAATTGGTTCATCACAGTTGATACAAACTCCTTCATCTCCTGAAACTCATGTGTCCGGATGCTGCCTGAACCATCGATCAAGAAGACAATGTCACTCTCCTGCTGAGGACATCCTGGAGAAGAGAACAAGAAGTGTGAGTAATGAGCAGGAGGCTCGTACTCGTTTTGTTTCTTTTTGTGCTTGGTTTTTCCTTGTGATTCCATACTGGAGCTTGAACTCAGAGCCTGGGTGCTGTCTCTTAGCTTTTTCTACTCAAGGCTAGCACACTACCCCTTGAGCCACAGCTCCACTTCAGATTAGTTGTTTATTGGAGATAAGAAGCTTATGGACTTTCCTGCCCCAGGCTGGCTTCAAATCACAACCCTCAGATCTCAGCCTCCTGAATAGCTAGAATTTCAGGCATGAGCCACTGGCACCAGACTTGGCTTTGATCTTTTGAGAGAATCCCGAGGTAGAGACAAAGCCACAAGCAGGTTCCTGACTTTGAATTTTTGATCTACTGCTTGTTGTTTAAGCTGTTAAGGAAATGTGTTGAGGGGCCAAAGACACAAGGACATATAGCGATGTACAAAGAACAGATAAGAAACAAACTATAAAGCCAGGCACCAGTGGCTCACACCTGTAATCCTAGCTACTCAGGAGGCTGAGATATGAGGATCACAGTGCAAAGCCAGCCTGGGGAGGAAAGTCCATGAGACTTATCTCCAATAAATCACTCAGAAAACCAGAAGTGCTGCTGTGGCTCAAGTGGTAGAGCAGTAGCCTTTAGCTGAAGAGCTGTGGGACAGTGCCAGGCCCAGGGTTCAAGCCCTACAACCAACCAAAAAGAAAAAAAAAAAAAGAAGGAAACTATGTGCCCACAGATAGGAGATAACAAAGGAAGGATATGTGGTAGGGAAATAGATGGTGGGATGATTAGAAGCACCACACCGGAAAGGGTTCTTGGAGAGGTGATATCTGAGCGAGAAGATTAGAATGTGCTATTAGATGAGATATGAGGAAAAGCAATCAGTAATCGTCAATACAAAGATCCTGAGGCCAGACAACTTGGTGAGATTCCCGGAGGCAGCCAGAGGGGCTGGTGCAAAGTAGAAACTGAAGTAGAAGGAATGAGAGGAAGCTGGAGAGGTCTGCAAAGGCTGAGCTATCTAGAACACCATGGTGGCATTTGTTATAAAGACAATAATAGTCGGCAGTCAGGTAACCTGGTCTTCTCTTGCCTCACAGAGGTGAGTGGTGTGCCCACACCCCCCCTCTTTCTCTCTTAGCTGGGGACATGATACTATGGGTTGGACTCACATCCTAATATTTGCTAGCCAGGCACTCTACCACTTGAGACATGCCTCCAGTTTGTTTGTTTGTTTGTTTGTTTGTTTTAACTAGGGTCTCCTTTTTCCTCAAGCTAGTCTGGACCCTACTCCTCCTATTTATACTTTCGGTGTAGCTAGGATGACAGGTACCTGCCACCATACCCAGTCTTTTCTGTTGACAAGGGATCTTGTGAACTTTTTTACTCAGGCCCACCTCAAACCCTGATCCTCCCCCAGCTCAGCCTCCAGAATAAGTAAGATTGCAGGTATGTGAGTCACTGCATCTGGCTGGAACTCCTCTTAAAGTGCACAGTCCTGACCCCCATCCTCTGGTCTCTGCCAGAAGAGACCCACCTCTAAGGGTCTCTGGGAACCGCTCAGGCTGCTGTAGCAAGTTGGGTCCAAACAGGAAGCAGAAGCCATTCACATATGTGTTCTCCTTGCAGGTCTGATGCACAGTGGGACCACAGGCCTGAGGGATGGGGGCGGTGAGAGGAAAGGTCAATGAAGGCCACGGACAGTGATAGGGATGAGACCATGGAGAGGCGGGGCTGGTGAGGGGAAAGACCAATGAGGGACAGGGACAGTGATGAAGGGTGGGGCCAGTGAGGGGAGAGGCCAATGAGAGACAGGGACAGTGGTGGGGGTGGGGCCAGTGAGGGGCTGCCTTACTTCCTGTCCTTTTCTTACCAGTACCTCCATGCTCCTCTATTTCAGGTAGCCCAGGTCCCCTCTCCTCCCCGCAGGACCCTCATGTGACTCAGGGCAACTCACCAGGAGCTGGGTGGGGTTGGTGGCAGCTGCCAAGGACAGGCCCAGGGACATGTTCACAGCCTCTGGAGGCACTGAGGAGATAGAGAGGCACAAGATTACCCTCAGAGACAGAAGAAGCTGCACCATCTGGGTCACCTGGACGTGGAGACAGGGAGCCTGGCAGGGGAAGGGAGCATCCAGATCAGGAGACAAGTCTACCTGAGGTCTGCGGAGCCGGACCTGCATGCAGAGCAGAGGCTGGGGAGCCAGCACCCCCCCCTCCTCCCCCACCACAGTCCCCTCCCTCCTATGCAGGTCTTCCCAGGCAGGGGCAGGAGCTCACCCTGCAGGTGGATGGGCTGACACCTGCCCGTGCTGACGTCACACTGGTAGAGGCCACCTGTTTGGTTGGTGGACCCTATCTCCTGGGGAGCTCCAACCAGCACCCTGCAAGGAGACATGGGAATAGAGAAATCTGAAGGTGTGGAAAAAGTAGCCATGACAGAAGTGGGAAAACTGGGGGGAATCACCATGAAATGGAGCTAGGATGAGCAAAGGAAATAAGTAGCTAGAATTACAGGAGTGAGCCACGAGTACCTGTCCATGGCCTTCATTGACCTTTCCTCTCACCAGCCCCATTTGACATTTGACATTTGTGTTTACATACACAAAAGTTGATCTTAGAGTACACAGCTAGAAGTTGTTTATGCTGATCCCTCCCTCTTTATTTTAATCCCTGCAACTTTGTTCCAATGATATATGTACTTGCTAGGCTACCAAGTTGAAATTTCTTTGGCCTTGTTTTGTTATGACCAAGTAACAATGTCTGCTATTGTAAGGAATTGTTTATTTCAACATGGAACCTTAGGGTGTAGAAGGGAGATCCATTTCAAGTAGGTGCAGAGTTGTGAATCTTGTAAGTTCAAATCTATGAGTAGGTGACAAGTTGGCATTAAGATTGTCCTTTTTTTCTGATCAAAACAAATAAAAACTTCTTAGCCAGGCACTGGTGGCTCACACTTGTAATCCTAGCTACTCAGGAGGCTGAGATCTGAGGATCATGGTTCAAAGCCAGGCTGGGCAGGAAAGACCATGGTACTCTTATCTCCAATAAACCACTAGGAAACCAGAAGTGGTGCTGTGGCTCAAGCAGTAGAGCGCTCGCCTTGAGCTGAAGAGTATAGGGACAGCGCCCAGGACCAGGGTTCAGGCCCCATAACTGACAAAAAAAATACAAATAAATAAAAACTTTTTTAAACTACAAAAGGAGGGGGAATACCATTTCTGTACACACTTCTGTAAAGGCAGACATTTTGCACTTTGCAACTCATACAGTCTCTGTCACAACTACTCTATCCAGCCATTGTAGCTCAGAGGCAGCCATAAGCCGGATAGGGTGGTACACACCTGTAAAGCCAGCACTGGGGAAGCTGAGTCATGATATATCAAATTCAAGGCCAGCTTGGGCTATTTGAGGTAAGCCTGTGCAGTGAATCAAAAAGAGAAAGAAGAGGAGGTGGAAGGGAGGGACAGAGAGAAAGAGAGGGAAGAAGGGGGTATGGAGCCAGCACCAGTGGCTCATGCCTGTAATCCTAGCTACTCAGGAGACTTAGATCTGAGGATCTCGGTTCAAAGCCAGCCTGGGCAGAAAAGTCTCTAATTAAACATTCAAAAACTGGAAATGGAGCTATGGCTCAAGTGGTAGAACATAGCCCTGAGCAAAAGAGCTCAGGGACTGTATCCAGGCCCTAAGTTCAAGCCCCATGACCAGCCTAAAAAAAAAGAAGAAGAAGAAGAAAGAGGGCTGGGAAGGTGGCTCAGTGGTAGAGCACTTGCCTTGCATGCATGAGGCCCTGGGTTCAATTCCTCAGCACCACATAAGCAGAAAAAGCCAGGAGCGGCACTGTGGCTCAAGTGGTAGAATGCTAGCCTTGAGCTGAGGAGCTGGGGGACAGCGCCCAGACCCAGAGTTCAGGCCCACGACTGACAAAAAACAAAAGAAAGAAAGAAGGAAAAAGGTCAGCCACAAACTATTAGGGACAAGTAGGTAAGGTTGTACTAAATAAAATTTATTTACAATTATAAGTAGCAGCTCTCAAGCAGGCCATAATTAGAGACTTAGGTGTAGTTGTAAAACAAAAATCTCTCTAGAACAAACCACATGAAACCATTTGCTAGAGTCTCTCCTTAGAAAAGAAGTGGACGAAGGGAGTGATAGATTTTTCCTTAGTACCACCTACACAGAAAAAGCTGGAAGTGGTACTGTGGCTCAAGTGGTAGAGTGCTAGCTTTGAGCAAAAGAAGCTCAGGGACAGTGCCCAGGCCCTGAGTTCAAGCCCCAGAACTGGTGAAGAAGAAGAAAGAGGAGGAGGAGGAGGAGGAGGAGGAGGAGGAGGAAAGAAAGAAGGAAGGAAGGAAGGAAAGAAAGAAAAAGAAAGGAATACATCCCCAATGGATTGAAACAAAGTCATTTCTAGGATAAGAATGAATGACTGGGATTTTTTTTTTTTTTAGTTTTATACACTCTTCAGCATCTTTTTAATTTAAAACACTGTCTCATTACTATATATTCAGGAAAAGCAAAAAACTAATTTGTCTTTTTTTTGTCTTTTTATATACATTTAGGAACACACATGAAAAACAAGACTCTTCCAGAAGCTCTTACCGGGACCCCTCAAACTGGACCACAGTCTGCCCAAAGCCCTTTGCATTCTCTTGAAAAGTCATCGGCTTTTCAACATCCAGGTTGAACCCACGACATAAGGCCACAGCTAGAAGAAGGAGAAGTGGGTAAGGGCCAAGCAGGGAAGCAGAATAGACAAGAAGGCAGTAAGCCCTCCTCTGCCCCGATTCGCCCAAACTCGGCATCCAGGGTGTCTGCCTCCAGGCCCAGCTCTGATGGCCAGCTCAGGGATTTCACGCTTTTTCTATAGAGAGCCAGAAAGGATATACTTCAAGCTTTTCAAGCCAAGAGACAAACATAATATGTTACATAGGTATTTATATAACAAGATAAAATACAAGTCCATAAACTGATCATCAAGGAACTTGATGGTACTGGGACTTAAACTCAGGGACAGACCACTGTGCTTTTTCCCACTCAAGGCTGGCACTCAACCACTTGAGCCATAACTCCACTTGAGCTCTTTGGTAGTTGATGGGAGATAAGAGTATCATAGACTTGCCTCCCCTGGCTGACTTTGAACTCTGATTCTCAGATCTCAGCCTCTTAAGCATCTAGGAGGATTACAGGTGTGAGCCAATGGCACCCAGCAAGGATAGCATTTTGATAATACAGATTTACTAATGATACAGTGGAATCCTCATTTATCCTGGGATTCAACATTAGTGTTCACAGGCTGGATGCTACTGGCTCACACCTGTAATCCTAGCTACTCAGGAAACTGAGATCTACGGATCAAAGTTCAAAGCCAGTCCAGGCAGAGAAGTCCGTGAGACTCTTATCTCCAATTATCCAGCAAAAAAAAACTGGAAGTGGAGGTATGGCTCAAGTGGTAGAACACCAACCTTGAATAAAAAAGTGAAGGAATAATGTGAGGGCCCTGAATTCAAACCCCAGTACTAGTACCAAAATGGTGTTCACTATGATCAGACTGCTTATAAATGTCCAACTACAGCCTATGGCTTGTAGGTTGTAACCAACTGACTCACAGGCCCAGAGCTACATCATGGGATGTAGTAAGGCCCCCTCTGAACTCCACTCTGCCCACTGAGCCCACAAATGGCCTCTTTCCCCACCATCACTATCACCAATTTGCTCAACAGTCAAGTTCCTGTAGACTCAGAACATTTCCTTCCTGCCCAATTCTCAAGCATTTCCTTCCCTTCTTGACTTGGTTTCCACACAACTTAAGCATAAAAGGAAACCAAACCATCAGGCACCAATGGCTCACACCTGTCATCCTAGCTACTCAGAAGGCTAATAAAGTAAAATTAAATTTTAAACAGGCAGCCAGGTGCTGGTGGCTCACACCTGTAATCCTACCTACTCAGGAGGCTGAGATCTGAGGATCAGGGTTCAAAGCCAGCCTGGGCAGGAAAGTCTGTGAGACTCTTATCTCCAATTAACCATTAGAAAACCAGAAGTAGTGCTGTGGCTCAAGTGGTAGAGCACTAACCTTGAGCTGAAGAGCTCAGGGACAGTGCCTAGGCCCAGAGTTCAAGCCCCAAGACTGAAAAAAAAAAATCCAGATTCTAGTGTCTCATGCCAGTAAACCTAGCTACTCAGGAGGCTGAGATCTGAGGATTATGGTTCAAAGCCAACCTGGGCAAGAAAGTCTCTAAGACCCTTATCTCCAACTAATCACAAAAAAAAAAATTTTCAGAAGTGATGCTGTGGCTCAAGTGGTAGAGTGCTAGCCATCAGCAAAAGAGCTCAGGGACAGTGCCCAATCCCAGAGTTCCAGCCCATGACTGGCAATAAATAAATAAATAAATGCCAGGCATTGATGGTTCATGCCTGTAATGGTATCTGCTCAGGAGGCTGAGATCTGAGGATCACAGTTCAAAGCCAGCCCCAAGCAGAAAAGTCCATGAGACTCTTCTCTCCAATTAACCACCAACAAGGCAGAAATGGCACTGTGGTTCAAAGTGATAGAGCACTAGCCTTGAGCACAAAAGCTCAGGGATTGCCCCCAGGCCCTGATTTCAAGCCTTACTGGCACAAAAACAAAGTAGTAAAGTAGGATCCCTGAGGAATCTTGAGAGTATAAATTTGCTGTGCACTACTGGGCATGTCCTTTCATCTCTCTGAGCCTCTGTTTTCTGATCTATGAAGCGAAGGGTACCAAACAGCCTTGCAGAGTTCGCGAATAAAGTCATTCATCCAAGCTTCCCAGTGCATCCCATCTTCACCAGCCTCGACTTTCTCCTTCTTCTTGAATCTTCCATCCTCCCCATCCCTTTTGCCTCTCCCCATCCAACTCCTGTATCATCTGCTTCTATTTTTCCTCCATTCACAGACCCCAAAATTTACACACACACACACACACACACTGAGGTCCCCCAATTCCCTAGGTACCTGTCAACAAGAGGACTCTCCAAGTCATGGCTAAAAGCAGCAAGAACCTGAGAGAAAAGAACTTGGGTGGCAGGCACCACTGAACCCCTTCATAGAAGCCATTCAAGTCTGGAAGGGCAGAAAACGAGAAGTAGTTCAAGGAAGAGGTGGAGGGCGGAGGCCCATTGAGCACTTGACTCAGCCCTTCTCTGGAGACTGCACTCAGTGCTCTCCGGCTCAAACGCCACCAAGGTCACTCACCATCTGAAAGATCATGCACTCTATCATTTGTGACTCACTTGTTCCTAGGGTTGGCCAAAGTATTAAGAAAAGCCAGCAAAATGCCCTTAGGACTCTGGGTCTTCTCAAAAAGACTCTGCAACATTTCTCCAACTCCACTTACAGACCCAGGAATATCCTCCAGTCAGAGCTGTTCTGGGCAGCTCCTATGCAAAGAGTTCTGGTGCTTTCTAAGTGTTTTGCTTTAAAAAAAATAATAAAATAAAATAAGTAAGGTCTCAAGAGCTGGACATCTACTCAGAGGTGGAGGTAGGAGAATTATGGTCTAAGACCTACTCTGGGCAAAAGCATGAGACCCTACAAGAAAACTAGCTAAATAAATCCAAATAAGTAAACTAAAAATGCGCTGGAAAATAGCTTAAGTAGTAGAATATTTGTCTAGCAAGCATGAGGCCCTGAGTTCAAGGCCAATTGCTAGCCAAAACAAAGTAAAAAGAAAAAAAAGTCATGCAATCTTGGATAAACAAAAAGCCAAGGGAATTCATCTCCACTAGACCTCCCCTTCAAGAAATGCTACAGAGAAAAAGCCAAGGGACTAAGGGACAGTACCAAACACAAAGCTATAGAGACTCCTGCAGACAGAAATGCAAAGGTATTAGACAGTAACAGAGTCATATGAAAAAAAAATCTCAATAAAGGTAAATAAATATGCAATTATAAAAGCTAGTGTTGTTAACATGGTATATAAAATGTTTTCTATAAACATGATTTAAGAAACAAATATTTTTATTACAAATATATTTTTTTCCAGTCGTGGGGGGCCTGAACTCTTGGTCTGGGCGCTGTCCCTCAGCTCTTCAGCTCAAAGCTAATGCTCTACCACTTGAGCCACAGCACCACTTCTGGCTTTTTCTGCTTATGTGGTGCTGAGCAATCAAACCCAGGGTTTCATGCATGCAAGGCAAGCACTCTACCACTGAGCCACCTTCCCAGCCCCTATTTTATATTTTTGAACACATATTATATAAAGACAATTTTGTGAGCCCGATGCCAGTGGCCCATGTCTAGAACCCTAACTACTCAGAATTCTGAGACCTGAGGAATGAAGTTCGAAGCCAGCCTTAGCAAAAACTGAAGATGAAGAAGACTTACTAGACAGCCACTCTAGCTGAGGACGGAGGTACTTGGTGGAGGGAATGCCTGCTCACCAAACCAGTCAACAGAGAGCTGAGCTGATGAAACAGATAAGAAGATGATGTTTGACTCAGAAATGATGATAATGTAGCCTGACATCAGTGGCGCACGCCTGTGATCCTAGCTACTCAGGAGGCTGAGATCTGAGGATCAAGGTTCAAAGCCAACCTGAGCAGGTAGTGGAGCTGTGGCTCCAAGTGGTTAAGTGCTAGTCTTGAAGGAAAAGAAAAGCTCAGGGGCAGAGCCCAGGTCCTAAGTTCAAAACCCCATGACCAACAATAAGAAGAAAGAAGGAGAAAGGAAGAAAGGGTGGAATGGAGGAAGGAAGAATGGAGGAAGGAAGGATGGAAGGAAGGAAGGAAGGAAAGAAGGAAGCAGCAGCGTCTATGACAGAGTATGTGCTTTCAGGATGGTGAGTGACAGACAAACAGGGAGGGGAATGGGGAGGGGAACACACCCTGAAGACCTTCAGTGGGGTCTTGATGCTACCGAGGTAATGATTCTTGGGAGGGGATTATAGCTGTGATGACAGAGGTCTGACCTCCTCCTGAGGTTGATCTTCCTCTGCCTGCACCATCCTCCCCGCCCCCCATCTTTGCAGAAGCAAAGCCTGCCTGTTCCTGCAGCTGCTTGTGAAAGAGAAGCCAGAAGAACTGGTGAATGATAGCATCAGCTGCATGAGCCAAAACAAGAGTGGCGGCCCTGCAAAAAGACAAGCAGGCTGGCCAAGCCAGGGGGCTCCAGAGACTGGAAGCTGCAGGATACAAATGAGTCATCGCAGACCTCAGCCACAGCTTGCAGAAAGATATGAGACCATGATGCATGATGCGGGAAGGAAAAAGGCAGGAGAGGTTTCTAGAAAGTGAAGCAATAAGAAGGATGAGTGTTGCTCTCTATCTTCTAACCCGATCAGCCCCTGTTGGCTTTGTTGTTCTTGTGTGTACGTCAATCCTGGGACTTGAACTCAGGGCTCCACACCTTCATTAGCTTTTTCACTCAAGCCTAGCACTCTACCACTTGAACCATACTTCCACTTTCAGCTTTTTGCTAGGTAGTTGGAGATAGGAGTCTCTCAGATTTGTCTGCCCGGGCTGACTTCAAACCCAGATCCTTAGATCTCAACCTCCTGCGTAGCTAGGAGCCACTAGCATCTGGTTTCTGGAACTTCTGATTTTCTTCTCCATAGAGGCTTCTTCCAAGGTCAGTATAAGGACATGATAGAGGAAGAAAACAGACAAGTTGTCCCAGAAAATGGGGTAGCAGACACCAGGGCTACTTAGGGAAGAACCACCACCATCTTCTCGTTTGTTCTTGCTCCTGTCCTGTAAGTCATGATGCTGAGAAAGAAGCATTCTACAAGAGGGGCTGGGACCAGGCTGTGTTTGCTCTGCATACCTTGTTTGGGAAGGGCCACTGTCTTGTCAGAGCTCTTACTGGAGCATCATGCCTGTAATCTTAGCCACTCAGGAAGCTGAGATCTGAGGATCAAGGTTCAAAGCCAGCCCACACAGGAACATCCAGGAGACTCTTATCTCTAGTTAATCACTTCCTCCCTCACACACTCACACAAAAGCCAGAAGTATAGCTGTGGCTCAAGTGAAAGAGAGCTAGCCTTGAGAAAAAAAAAATTATAGACATGACCAGGGACAGAAAAAAAAAAAAAAGGCAGAATAGCTTTGGGCCTGACCTGAACAGAGGTTGCAGGGTTTTGGGGTGGGGTGGGGGGATTCCTTTCGACAGGAGAAAATGACCTGGGTGGAGAATAAGAATCACAAAACTTTGTGTGTATTTTTTTTCCTTTTTTGCTTCTAGGGGTAAACAGGATGGACACAATGTTAAGAGCAAAAGATTCATCCAGGCAACAATGGCTCAGAACTATAATCCTAGATTCTCAGGAGGCTAGGATCTGAGGATTGTGGTTCAAAGCCAGCTTCAGCAGACAAATCCAGAAGATTCTTATCTTGAATTAACCAACAAGAAGCCAGAAGTGGACTCAAGTGTGACTCAAGTGATAGAGCATTAGCCTTGAGGAAAAAAAAAAAGCCAACCAAGATCACAAGGCCCTGAGTTCAAGCTTGAATATTGGCATGCATGGGTGCATGCGTGCATATGCATGCATGTGCGCGCGCGTGTGCACACACACACACACACACACAAGCACCAGTGTTGCCCCAGCCCACGACAAGTTGTTCCTGCAGACAGAGCCCCTAAGATAGGTTGAGCCAGGCCTAAGAAATCACTATAGTTCTATTCTTTTTCCTGTTGTCTTGGCTATGATAATATTATGGAAAGTGGAAACAATACACACAGCATCACCACCACAATAGACCAGCTCCTGGCACCAACCCCAGGCTTCATTCCTGCACAGATGTGGTTTACAGACTTGCCAAGTTGGGATAGCTTTAATTGTACATCATAGTTTTGCTATATAGCATTTAGCCTAAGTATGCCTCATTAGCTCTACTACAGCCAGAATTCCATTTTAATGGGTATAACACATTCCATTAAGAAATTTTAGTGCTTTACCTGTTCATTTGTTTTTAGGTGTAGCTCAAGTGATATAGTACAGTCTAGTAAGCATAAGGTCCTGAGTTCAAATTCCAGGACTGTAAAAAAAAAAAGCTCAGCTAATGTGGGTTGAATAAATACATAAGTGAAACTTCAGCTCTGGGCAAGACTGTCTGATGTGCAAATGAGAGGTAAAGAGAAAGTGAAAAGAGAAGAAAAAAGAAGGGAAAGGAAAATAAGAGAAGGGAAGGGGAAAGAATGGAAGAGAAGAGAAGGGAAGGGAAGAGAAGGGAAAAGACAAGCCAATATTACGCCTCTATAATCCCAGCATTGAGGAGGCAGAGACAGGATGATTATATATATATATATAGAGAGAGAGAGAGAGAGAGAGAGAGAGAGCACTAGGCACACCTATAATCCTAACTACTCAGGAGGTTAGAATCTGAGGATTGCAATTGGAAGCCAGCCCAAGCAGGAAAGGCCATGAGACTCTTATCACCAGAAAACTGGAAGTGGCACTGTGGCTCAAAGTAGTAGAGCTCTAGCCTTTAGCAAAAGAGATCAGGGACAACATCCAGGCCCTTAGTTCAATCCCTATGACCAAAATACATGTGTGTGTGTGTGTGTGTGTGTGTGTGTGTGTGTGTGTGTGAAGCACGGTGGCTCATGCCTATAATCCCCAGTGACTCAGGAGGTGACTGATCAGGAGGATGGAAGTTTGAGGCCAGATGGGCAAAAAGTAACACCCCCATCTCTACCAATAAGATGGGCATGATAGGTCACATTTGGAATCCCAGCTATAAGAGAGGCATAAATAGGAGCATCACAATCCAGCCCGGCCTGGGCACAAAACACAAGACACTGTCAAAACACAAATGCTAAAGCAAAAAAGGATGGAGGCATGGCTCGAGTGGTAGAGTGCTTGTTAGGTGAGTGCTTGTCCCTCAGTTATCCCAACCACAGTACCACAGAAAAATAAAAGTACAGTTGAGAGCAGAGTAATAACATGGCCTGAAGCTGAGCGCAGCAGGGGAGGAGGAGAAACTGGATCTTGACGGCATCTAAAAAGAAGAAGGTCTGGTTTCACTCACATCCGGCTCACCCGGAGCCAGAGGAAGTGTGGCCTAAGAGGAGCCCACAGCTGGGGGGGGGGGGGAGAGTCGCAGTTG